GGTGCTCCTGTGGCAGAGCCGGACTATCAAAAGGGGGGGCTATGAGTGGTCTGGGGTGGCATCCGTCCCACCCCACCCCAGACCCCCCATAGTCCCCCCTTCCAATAGTCCAGCATATCTGATAATCCGGCACCCCCTGGGTCCTAAAGGTGCCAGATTATCAGAAGTTTACTGTATTTCAATTAAACAAGTCTTCAAAGCCTCAAAGGAGTCTTGAGGTCTGTAAATGTCCTGCATATAATTATCAGTGTCTGATGAGGGTAGTCTTCCCCTTAAAGGTAGGAGATGCTTTAGAGTTCAACACAGTGTAGCCCTTTAAGATCTGGAAAGATTCTATATCTGTATAATTTTTAAAAGTGAGAGAGAGGGGTTGAGAAAATATAAAAAGGAAATGTGTGAGGGAATGTGAGATATTCGTGGAGAAGCCTTCTCACCATCTTTAAAGTGCCAAGGCAAGGAGATTTTGCAGAGTGGGTAAGTTGAGGTTGCTGTAGTCTAGTGATCCAAAATAATTTTTTTAATTTAAGGGCAACCCAAGATCTATTTTCCCTCTGTTCCAAGACCCCATCCCTTCCCCAAAGCCCCACTTTGCTTCCCTTCCTCCTCCCTTTTATCTGTCGCATGCTCTCGCCCACCCCTCATTCACTTTCACTAGGGCGTGGGAAGGAGGTGCAGGCTCTGAGATGCAGCCAAGGGGGGTTGCAGTGTGGTAGTGGGCTCCAAGCTAAGCCTGTGGCAGGAAGTAGGGGTGCAGGCTTTGAGAGGGAGTTTGGATGCAGGAGGAGGCTACAAGCTGTGGCACAGGAGGATGCAGGTGGATATGAGGTACTGGCACTTGGAGGAAGCTCAGGATTGTGGCAATGCCTTGGGGTGCAGGAAGGACTATGGGGTGCTGGCTCCATGAGAGAATTAGGGAATGGCCTCCCACCAGAAGGCAATTATCTAGGGCAGCTCCCATTTGGCAGTGCAACAGGACTGCTACTAGCTCCATGCCATTCCTAGAAGGGGACAACATGCAGATGTGGCCCCTGGGGGACCATGTAGCTCCACACATTGCCCCTCTCTGCAGGCACTGCCCCACACATTCCATTGGCTATACTTCTCCATTCCCAGCCAATGGGGGCTCCAGAATTGGTGCTTGCAAGGAGGAGCAACTCACAGACACACACCCTGGGGTACTGGCTGCTGGAGCAGGCAGGAAGCTTCTCTTAATAGCACAATACGGAGAGTCTCCAGGATGTCTCCAGGATTGACCAAATGATTGTGATCAAAAAGGTTGATGACCAATCTTAACAGCCCTAACATTAAGTTTGTACAACCAGGGCTGGATTACCCAATAGGCAGACTAAGGATGTGCTTAGGGTACCAGCAAAGCAGGGGCACCAAAAAAAATTAGATTTTACGGTATAGTATTGTTTTTATTTTGAATTACATATGAGGGGGCACCATAATTTTTTCAATGCTTAGGGCCTCTAAAGGTCTTAATCCGGCCCTGTGTACAACATATACAAAACACAGCTAAGCAAAAGAAACCATATCAAATGTATTTAAAGTAACTTTAACTTTGCTAGATGGAAACATGGCAGTTAACTTTATGGAAAAGAACAGTAATATTAAATTCTATGAAGTATGCATATGAACATACCCATGAAGCTGCTGATCATCGCGCTGGTATGCATGGCTACTTGATAGAAGAATGACTTTGGCACATCTACTGCTTTTCACCCAAGAAAGCAGTGTTTGACAAAATAATCTATATTTATTCTATATATCAAGATGGAGGAGGAAGAGAAGCAGAAAGATTAGATATTTAAGAAATGACAAAAAGCTACAATTATTATTTGTACTGCATTTAATGTTTAGGGATGAGGCAAGTTCATGTTTATTTAACTAAAACTAAGATTTTCCTCATACCAGTTAAGTCTCAATTTTAGAATAACATTTTTAAATAAAAGCTTAAGGATGGAACCAAGCTTGCTACCATGATTATGATTATGAATCAAATCAACATTTACCAGTTATTTTCATACCTTAGTGTCTAAAATCTGATCAAGCAGTAGATTTACGAGTAGAAGCTGGATAAAAAATGTTTAGCTTTTAAGAACCCACACACTTGAACTGTCAAAAATTGTGCTCAGGTACTACAATATGGTAAATATTGGCTTTAATGACAAACATTGTATTTCAACATAGCATGTATACAACAATATGAATTTCTCTTCATTTCACATTATATCCTGAGTTCTAAGGTAGATTTAAAGAAACAGTCATTTTAATGACTGAAAAACTTATTTTAGAAATAAATAGCACAAATGTGTACTAATTGTAAGCAGATATTTTCCCAAAAATCAATGGATCTTTGCCTCTGTCTTAGAGGCAATAACTAAATAATATATAACATCATGCAGCTAGTGGTATGACTAAGTCTAATTTATCTTCTCTCAGCAATCCACAAGCAGAGTTTAATTCAATCAGTAGAAATACAATTATGTAATTAATGGCAATTTTCAACTGTATTTGTTTGATAAGCATCTTACTAAACACTTACCACAATTCAGAAAGATTTTGATTTCAACTTATATCCCATTATTGTATATATTTTCTGGATAGAAGCCTTTCTAGAAACAATTTTTAGTTCATTTTAAAGGGGAGTGATTTTTCTGTACTGGTAATTTTTCACCAGCTATAAATACTTTTGGGGTTTATTTCATAAGATGATGTGACAGACCATCTGGCTGCCACATTCTAATAGAGGGCAGGTATGCTGGGTTCAGCTTCCTCTTCCTGCAAGGCATGAAGAAGCCCAAAATCTGAGAGTGAGAAGGTAGCTTGGGAGAATGCTGTGAAGGAGCAAGATGGACTTGCTCAGGTACTGGAAGGAGTTCTTTGGGGAAGTGGCCTAGGGAAGAAGCTGCTTGACTGGGAGTCAAGGAAACCCTGTCTGTTACCACTGTCTTCAGGTTCTGGCCCAGGGACCCTAAGTAGTGGGTGAGCCTGGTTTTCCCCCAACACTCCTAGTACCACTACAGAGTCTGCCCCTGAAAGGGGAGACTAGAATTACTGAGGGGTTTTCACCATAGGCTAGTCCACAGTTTATGATGAGATAGGCTCAGTAGGCTGAACTCCTTGCCTCTAGAAAGGGAGAGGCTGTGTGGAGAGTCACAACAAGCTTCTGAGGCAAATACTATCTGCCAGAAGCTCAGGACCCTCAGGGCACAGCCAGAACTTTGCCACAACGATTAACATGAATCCTGACTGCTAAAGATCTTGGATATGAACATTTTCTGATTCGCCCCTTTCAATATATACGATAAGAATGGCCAATAATATACATACCTTTACAAATGGTGATCTGATTTGGAGGACCACAAGCTTTTTAGAAGGTAAAGAATATACTGCAAAAAACAATGAAGTTGTGTAAGGAGAAAACAAGTGAACAATGTAGTGTTACACATGTTTAGATTAATAATTTATAACAAAATAGATGATATTCTAAGTTTTTAAATCAAACTTGATTTAAACTAAATATTTTCTATTTTTAAAGTATTTAAAATTTATAATCACTACTCATACCTAAATTTAGTATAATTTATTAAACTAAATAAAACATTCAATTTATTTAAAAAAATCAACATTCAATGCCTTTTTGAGCTGAACTTTTAAATAAAATCAAACCACTAAACTTCTGGAAGTTACTAGTTAAGCTTTTGGAATCAGACTTTGGTGAAATGGTAAGTCAGCTTTTGATATCAGTAGCCTCTTCCAAAGGGGCACAGCTAATATTTTTCTCACTTCAATTTTTTTCAACTCCATGAGAATTTCATTAAATTGAGAAACCAACTGAGTTGAAAAAGTTTGAATATTATGAATAAAACTCATGGGGGGGGGAGCCTGAGATCTACAAGTTCTATGATCTTGAACGGGGTTCTGATCTATAATCTTGAACAATAATTTTTGATGGGGGCCAGACCAATTTGGCATGTGGTGAAGGACCATACTTTTTTTACAATATTAATGGAGGTGTACAGTCTGGGAGGGAGTTTGGGTGAAGGAGAAGATTTTGACCTGGATGAGGGATGTAGAAGGGGTACAAGGTCTGGGAGGGAGCTGTCATCTGGGCCAAATGTGCAGGAGGGGATGCAGAGAATTAGGTTCTAACTAGGGCAGGGAGTTGGAGTGCAAGAGGGAGTGAGATGTCAGGTGCAAGCTCTGGCTGGGAGGCATTTACTGTAGGTGGCTCCTGGCCAGCAGCCCAACAGGACCCTTGGGCAGGCTCCCTGACTACTGAGGCCAGTATGCCTCTGCAGGACATGCCTCTGAGGAGCCATGTCTTTGCGTGTTGCATGTCCCACAAGCACAGCCCAAGCAGCATCCATTGGCCAGTTTCCAGATAATAGAAGCTGCAAGGATTGTGCTGGGGGTGGGGTCAATGCATGGAGACACTCTCCCCCCCCCCCCCCAGGCAGAGGTATGCACTATGCAGATATGCACATGCTTCCTCAGCAGTCAGCCACTTTGAGTCTTGATGTAGTTCATAATAGATGAGATCAGCTGCAAAATGTCAACTAGCTCTGGGTTTAAAGCTTTAGATAAGAAGTTCTCTCACTCCTGCAGTGACTCTATACAGAAGACAGAGTAACTTTCTTTACCAAGGCACACAGACCCGCTTCATGTTCGGACAAAGCTCAATCTGTGAAAAAATCCAAAATGTAATCACACAATATAGTCTTGTCTTACATGTAGCCCCACAGAACACTGAACATTCCTTGTACCATCTCCTGGGTGGGAAGAGGAAGACAGAACACAGTGACTTCAAGTGCATCACAGCTCTCAGTGCTCACATTAACTTGAAAAGCAGAAGCATGCATGTTTTCAGATGCTCCACCACTGTGTTTTCCTCATCTGCTGCTATCGCTTCCATTCTTCCCTGTGATGGAGTATGGTATGGCTTTGAGTGTGCCTGTCTTAGTTTCCCAACACATTATTGATTGATTGCAGTTAGCAAAATCTAAGTCTCCCCAATTGTGAGTCACTTCTTGGATGGCATGAGATGGTAATTTACTTCAAATGGTGGTTTTTTTGGATTAGATCAGAGACTGACATGGCTCTCTTCAATTGCACCTGATGCAAGAGTTCCTTTTTCCAGCACTGGAAACGTTACCTTGATTTTCTTATATGCTAGTGTAATTTAAGTTTATTACCTAGTGAAAAAATAAAACCTAACAGCATGTGACAAGGCAGGCATTTTGGCCTTACTTCATTCTTGACCAAAATTCTGGTGTTTCTTTAGTATAGCTTCACACCACATATTTGCAAGCACATTTCTTGGACTTTAGTGTTGTTATGAACAGAAACAGTCACTACTTGAGGCTGAGGCAGGTAGTCAATGTAAAAATAAATCCATTGTGGCTCTTATCACAAATGAAAGAGGAATTCATGGTTAAGCAAAGGCCAGGACTTACGATGGCTCTGTACTAGAGCAATATAGAAACAGTGACTTACAGTGATTCTTTGTCAAGTACCAGCAGAATACTCAGGTTGCCATAAAGGAACATATGGGCCTGCCTTAGGTAGTTTACAAGTCACTTCCCGAGGTCCCAATTCATGAAGGCTCTACTCGTTAGTCAGCTAGAAGTGCTAGTGGGCCCATTCACTGCTCTGTGGCATGAGGCACAAGCAGTTTTGCACTGCATGTTGACCACTGATCAAAGCTTGGGTTAACAAGGTGTCTTGCCCTCCAACAAGGACCTTGCAGGGGCACACCACAGGTTTCCTCGCCTATTTAATAGGTCACCTTTACTACATGCTAAATTCCACTCTATTTCTAGATATGTGATCTAATAACTCCCACCCATCTCAGGTGACTGAACCACTCCTGGTAGCATGGTACAACAGTTTAGCACCAATTAGGATAGAAAAGACTACATGCTATCTGAATCACAGGACTTATGGTCCGCGAGACCCAACAAAATGGCTTTGCAGGGAACTTCCCATGTGCTTGAACCAACCCTGTTACTACAGTTCTTCAGCCTCTGAGACAAAGTAGATGTTGCAAACATGTCAGCAGATGAACCAAAACAAAGTTCTTATTTAAAATTTGAAGGATAGAAAACACTCCTTTGTAACTGATGACGCAGGGTCCTTTTTTACACCATCTTGGTGTTTCCATACCTAGTCTACAAGTGCTGAACCAAGAAGCTCCCATTTCTATTTACAGAGTGTCAGTATCCTGATAGCATGACTTTCCACATCTAGGCTATGTCTACACTGCACCTCTTTTCCAGAAAAGGGATGCAGATGAGACAAGTCGGAATTGCAAATGCAGCGGGGGATTTATATATCCCCCGCTTCATTTGTATAAACATGGCTGCCGCTTTTTTCTGGCTCGGGGCTTTGCCGGAGAAAAGCGCCAGTCTAGACGGGATCTTTCGGAAAATAAAGCCTTTTCCGAAAGGTCCCTTATTCCTCTTAAAATCAGTAACAATGATTAACAATAAGGCCATGAGGCATAACAGGGCAGTTGACAAGGACTTCCTTTGTCGACCGTGGAGCGTCCAGACTACCGCGCTGTGCCACCAAACAGCTGATCAGCACAGTGCGGCAACAATTTTTATGTAAATGAAGCAGCGATTATTTAAATCGCCGCTTCATTTCCCTTTGTCTAGAAAGTTAATCTACATGGCTCCATCGCCGGACCCATGTAGTCTACACATACCCTAAGTGAGCTGAAAAGAGGCCAAACTAGGGTCCAAGTCAGCCCCGGGGGATTATGGATTTCTTTATCTCGTACGTGTGCAGCATCACCCCCATTCCGTGCAGACCAACTTTCCTGCTTCTTTAAACTTGTGACCGCCTCAAGCAGGAAAGGAAAAAGGGAAGTATGGCTCGCCCATTGTTCAGCAAAAGCGAATGAATGTAACACAGCTGTAACTGCAAAGTCAGCAAGTAGGCACTGTATTTAACCTCATTTGGAAAATTAACCTGACCTATAGGAATGCTAAACGTCAAAAATGAAGTAACCTATCATGTTAAGGCACCTAAACCAGGAAGGATGTTAACCCTATAAGAACCCCTGCATATGAGATGTTGGGGGTCGGCTCTGCTTTGAACATTGAGTTCCTTAGCCGTACCTTGGTTGCAACCAATAAACTTGAGTTGGACCCAGCCTGAAAGTGTGACTCTCTTCTTGGGGTAAATCAGACTAGCCTCCAAGGGGACGAAACCAGCAATTTATGCAACATCTGCATCCCTTTTCCAGGAAAGGGGTGCAGTGTAGACACAGCCACGGTGTTTGTGAAGTCATGTTTTATGTGGAACAGCAAGTTGGTAGATCAAAACAACCCCCTATCATTTGTGGAGCAGGTCCAGTCACGTTGGCTGTATGGATGCCAGTTTGGCCATTTGCATCATCCAGCTGAGATACACAACCTTGGCAACAGAGCATCCTCTGTGCTTGCACTGGTGGGAGCCCATGCTAGCCTTTTTTGACATTATATGTCTGCCCACTGCAGAGTCCTATCTCCAGGTCAAATCACCAAACCCAAAACCGATCTGTTAATAGTGCAACCCCATTTGGGGGCCCAATCCATAGTTTGGGAACTTCAGCACCATCATGCATTAGATGTAATAAGCAAACTAATGTTCATTTGGCATGTTCTTCCTCACCAAGCATCTGAATATGTGACCAGTACCCAGGACTATTTCTAGGTAAGTGGGGGACCTGGGACACCACCTCTGCTGTCCTGACCTGCCCCTTACCCACACCCACCATTCAACTTCTTCCCCCAAGCTTCCATCCCACTCCAATTTCCTGAGCAATGCAGCCAGAGAAATTAGTGTGGAGCTTCACATCAGCAGCAGAGGTTGGGTCTGCCCCCACAGACACCAGCAGTGGTGGGAAGTGGAGCAACTCAGCTCTAGCCTGCTTCACTCTGCCAGCTCCCAGGTACATCATTCTGCTTCCTCCCCCAGGGAGCATGGGAGCAATTCCACCCGTTCCATCAAGCCCCCTCCCCTAAGAAAAACAGCTGAGAGCTGGGGGGAGCTGAGCAGGCTGGGAACAGATCTGACTGCTGCTGCTGCCAGCACCAGGCTCCTGCTATTCTCCCAGACCATCCTGGGCCCCACGGGGTCCCTTAAAGTGCAAGGCCTGGGACAGTTGCCCCAAACTATCCTATGGACGGGACAGCTCTGCCAGTACCTTTTTCCAGTAGAGACTTTTCAATATACCTATCATAAAT